AAAATTTTTCCTTCGTTATAACATGTGTGGGACACCTTAAGGTCAAGGCTATCCATGCATCCGATTGATTTGCAAGGATGGTACAAGCTATGTCCCATTGTATTTTACGTCCGAGTCGACTGTCACTTTCATTGACGTGCTTCAAAGGTATGATTCTGCAAAATCCAATTAATGACTTCGCAAAACTTTTGATTTGTTAGCCTTTCTCCGTCCTCCTATTTCAATCATGCCTCTCAGCTTGTTCGAATTTAGGTACATAACTTTACGCAGATCTGCACGGGAACCAAATCTTGTGCTTGTTGTTGATGGTAAAGCAGAAGCACTTGCTCAGAGTGTCATTGCTTTGGGACAGAATGACGACGTGTTGTCGGTAGGTTCCTCTTATTTGCGCTAGTTTATTGTTTGCTGTAACGAGGCATTGATCGGGATGACAAATTTGTTTGAACAGATCTCAGCATTTGTTGGCATAGGAACTAATTCAAGCCAACTGATTTGGGTCCATTTCGCTGCAGTTACTCAACCCAGAGTCTCAGAATCGAATTCAAGATAAAATGACAAAAGCTGATAATGATGTTGGCTTAATTTCAACTAAATAGTCTTCAATTGAACTTGGTTAAATTTCCAGGAATATCATTCGGAGTGGATTTTTTCTTGTCCAAGTCTCTCATGATTTCCATACTTTTACGAACTTTCTGCCATAGACTTTATAAAGACATACGAGAAATCGCATTCTTTTCAGCGTTTCATGAAGAATCCATACGCTGCGGCATTAACTGGATTTGGAAAAATCACATCGTTTATGCAGGAACAGGTTCGAATATCGAATCTGTGTATAAAAATGCATTCTATTTTTCACAGATGATTCCTGCACTGCTTGACAATGATGCAGTGAGTCAAGAAGAACAAATACGTGCTATACGAGAACTCAGCCAAAGGGAAGATGATGCAGCGAAGCTGAGGTAACCTACTTGGATTGCAGGCTAAGTGGAATTCGCATTTGCCCCAATTCGTAACTTATTTATTAGGATCAATCTTGATGCCGCATCCGAGTTTGAACTTGTTACTCAGTTAGAGTTGCCTCCTCGACCTGATATCTACAGAGAGTCGCCAGTCACACAGGTGAACCTAGGACTTATTTTCAATTTATGACCACTTATTTTCCATTTTCCTATGATTTTTCTCCAGGGTAGTAGTCTAAGAAGCATAGCTCTGCTTTTTCTGCCTTCTATTTTGTTGTACTTCAGGAGATATGGGATAGATTCAAAATGGCTGATGGCACTATTGATCCACAGAATATTCATCATCTGAAAATGAATGTATTTAGAGGAGGTTGGCAAATTTGCTCAATTATCAATATT